CCAAATAAAACCCCTACATACTGTGAGAGGAGATAAGATCCCCGTAGCGCATGTGGGGAAGTGGCTGGTGATGTGGATTGCTCCTCCCCTGGGACAAGGCAAACCCATTCCTGGGATTGTCTTTGCTCAAGGACCTGGGTGTACTTGATGGGTGATGAGGAAGGATGGAGACATCCAGTATGTGCCTCAAGGAGATTTAACCTTGGGGGAAAAATAATCTGTGATGTGAGTTGTACATTTAGGAAGTAACATAGCAGGAACGACATGAAGCGATGAAGAACAATGTGCAACAATGACCCAAACCCAGCGGTGTTGGCACCCAACACTCAATCATGCTGCTTCTCCTGCCCTGAGCACCCATCTTGACAGATGGGTCCCAAGTCAGAGCCTGTTCTTATGAGCATGTGGAGGAGTGGAGGAAGCCCCAGGAGGGGATTCATCCGCTCTAATTTTGCCAAAGAAGAGTCAGATGACGACCTGGAAAACAAGAACTGGAATCCTCCTCATTATTGCATTTTCAGACTCTCGCCTATTTTGAAGATGAAGAGGATCTAGAGGTGGGTGATGGGGGCTAAAAATCATGAATAAACGTAGTATAAACAAACCTCCAGAATATCTACAGCAGTGAATTTATACTTAAAAGTTTTTTTTTTTTAGACTTCTAGACTTTTGTAGAACAGGGGGACCTCTGGAGTGCATCAGGGACCTCCAATGGGCCCCAGCAAAGCCCAGATGAGCACTCTGGGGGGGCAATTAGGGGCCTTTGCAGGGCGCGTTCCCTGAGCTGGATGCTCAGGCTGCTTTTTTTCTGAAAAAGAGTGTGCCCTGATCTTCCCTTGTTGCTCCTCCTAGAAAATAAAGAGCTTTATTCCAGGCTTTCCTCCTTCCTGGACCATCGCACACCATCCTCCTGTGCCGTCCCCTGCCATGACCAGGCGCATGACCTAGGCCTGCCAGCTGCACCTCCAGCTCTGGGGAGGCGGTGGAGCAACAGATCCTGGAAACAACCTCCAACTTGTCTTGTGAAGGACAAGGTGATGGGGAGTAGTCAGCAGGGATTTACCATGAGGCAATTCTGCCTCATACCATATCACACGTGAGGCAGGAAGGTCAGCTTACTCATATCAAATGAATGTCCCAGAGGATGTCCCCTCCTGAAGACCAGCAGACCACTCACCCCGACACAGAACTACAGTTCAAGCTTTACTGAGGCCAGAAGTACCATCAATTTTCTTCCGTTTTCCCCCCGAATTTCCTCCAGCAGTAAGCCCCGTTCTACCTTACCTATTGAATCCCCTCATGAGTTATGCTGCCCCCAGTTTTAGTACCTTCCCAGGGAAGGCAGATCCCAGAAGGACAATCGGGTGAACTCACACCATCACCACGCTGAACAGGTTGGGAACCCACAGAGTCCCACCTGGGTTGCCAATTGTTACCAAAATGGATTTGCTTGCGATTTTTAGTTTGTGTGTGGGTACTGGAAAGAAGGCAGGAAAAGTAGGCACTAGCTGAACCCCCTTTTTTATTGGCAGCAATAAAGGTGGTTCTCGGCTCAGAGCACGAACAGGACCTCAAGTTACAAGTCTTGATTCCTTATAAGCAAACTCAATCTATTCACATACTCATTTTTACAATGACATCCCCTGCTGATGGAAAGTAGAGAATAAATACTTTGTTTTCCATTGCTTCCACACACAACCTTTGCTTTTTCATTAATAAACTGCCTTTGTTTCAACCCATAAGTTCTTTTTTTTGTCCATCTTATTTTCTCCTTCCCTGTTGTGTGGAGGAGGGAAAGTGACAGAGCGGCTAGGTGGACACCTGACAGCTAGCCAGGGTCAAACCCACCACACAGGGACAGGACAAGGGGCGATGGTTTTAAACTGAAAGGGGGTAGGTTTAGATTGGACATACATAAGAAATTATTCACTGTGAGGGTGGTGAGGCACTGGCACAGGTTGCCCAGAGAAGCTGTGGATGCCCCATCCCTGGCAGTGTTGAAGGCCAGGTTGGATGAGGCTTTGGGCAACCTGGTCTAATGGAGGGTGTCCGTGCCCATGGCAGGGGGGTTGGAACTAGATGAGCTTTGAGGTCCTTTCCAACCCAAACCGTTCTATGGTGCTGTGATGGAGAAAGCTGTGTTAATGTCGCTAGTTACAGCATTAATGTACTCCCTCACCTCAAAGCCAGCGGTATTCAAACACTCGATAGCAAGATACACAATTAGACTGTGTACTCAGCAATTATTTCAGAAGTATCAGAACCAGGGTCAGAAGGTCCTTCCCAAGGCATCTGTAACATGAGCAAGTGTTAAAGTAACAAAATCAAACTTCAGTAACTGTTAACGGATTCTCACTTGCAGTTTGCAATACTAAAATTTGCTCTTTAAGTCAGTGTGGAGTACTGGTGCAAGTACTAATACCAATAATAATATCGTAAGAGCCAAAACATGAAGAATGCAGTTTGGAATACTAAAATTTGCTCTTTAAGTCAAGTCAGTGTGGAGTACTGGTGCAAGTACTAATACCAATAATAATATCGTAAGAGCCAAAACATGAAGAAATCAATTACAGGCAGATGTAGAATTATGCAGAACGTACAACCAACGATGAGGCATTCAAATGCAAGATGGAAATGCAAAGCCACTCATGAGATATGATCAGAAACAGAAAACCAAAGTTAGAAGTGGCATGCCAAAAAAGCAAGGAGCAGGCCACCAAAAAAGGAGGAATTGAAGTAGCTGAGATGAGAGATAGCCAGGCACAAGTGGGACAAAGGAATATTTCATGGCCCCAGTGCAATAAACACTGGTTATTTGGAACAGTAACTATGCGACACGTTCAGAACAACATTCGTGTTGTTTTCTTTGCAGTAGTTAAAACCAACATTTTTGCTTTATTGTTATGTTTGAGAAAATACTGCCTGTTCTTAAGAGCTGCCACTTACCTTCCACTCCCAGAGCCAGGGAGAGTTAACCATTGTGTTGCCAGTCTGAGAGACAACCTCCAGCAAACAATCTGCACGCACACCAAAAGTTTCCAAATCACCTTGGCTAGCCGCTGCGTATTTTGGACATCTCAGTCACAAAATGACAACATTTGGCAAGTATTTTATTTGCTGCTAAAACAGCTCCAAACCTATTCCCACTTTCTAAACTGTGGGAAATCATTTGGCGAGTTCCCATCAAATATCTGTACAGACCTGGTTCCACAAAAGCTGCATTCCAGTGTCCCAACTACCGAACCTACTCGAGAGCTGTGGCAAAACAAATTATAAAACTTTTTATGTGGCTACTCGTGACCTGAAGTTTAAGAAGAAACTGGGAGAAGTCCCTGTTCCAGTTTTTGCTGACATATTTGGCATTAAGCTTTCCACGTTTGCCGTGTCTTTGCTGTAAGACATCCTCTGTTGATGCAAACATCGTAATTAATTTACAGCACGTTATGGTCAGTCTCTACTGAAAACTTATGACATCAGTTAGTCTTAAAAGCATGCCCAGCCCTTCAGGCGGGCTTCACTGCCTTCCGAATACAGTGCTCTACACACGCAGACAAAAATTTCCACCTAGCAAAGCACACGCATGACTAAACCAAATATTCTGTAATGCATTATGAGTGCATTAATGCTTACCCAAGTATACTTGCCAAGTCATCATCTTTCATAACAAGCTGACCAGGATGTGGTTTAATTACATTAAGTCACCAAACTATCAAAGATAATTTGACATGGCTGAAGGTGGTATTCCATTTTTCTGGAGAGGTTTCACAGTCAACTTAGCAGAGGGCTATACCACACCAAGGGTTAGTGACAGGTTCCCTGAAAGTATCTTAAACCTTTAAAATTCACCTAAAAGTAGCAGATACAAACTGTGTTCACATATGGTGAGTTATTTAAAGTTTCGGCACTCTTTAGTACTTCAGAAAGAAAACACAGGAAAACATGAGGAAAAGTCACAGCAAATTACGCCTAAAGATTTCTGGGTTTAAACTATATCCATTAAAGAACACTTTTACAAAAAGCCACGAAGAATTTAAGTCTCACAGTTTAAGAGAAGATGGGGAAGAGCACACCTTGTTTGCCTCAAATGTAAATTATTTCAAGCAAAAGGAACTATGGGATAATCTCTACCTTCTTCTGTGGAAGCCCAAAGCATGTAGCATCGATGCTTCAGAAAGTAAAGCAAAGTGATATTATTACCAACTGGAAAGCACAATGTAAGGAGCTATATGACGCAGAAACAACACTGCCAGTTTTCACAGCAAAGATCTTCCTTACAGGGTTTTACAAAGGATATGATCTGACTAAACACTCTTCCGCACATATAAACAATGTTGACAGTTTTTCTTCTCCTCCCTCGTCTAAGCACACTGAAGACAAGACTACAGCTACTTCTACACTTGCAAAAAACAATTAGCTTTGAAGAAGGAAAATCTCCTTGCAGTTCTAAGTTAAAATATCTACCATTTACATTTTTTTTCTAAAACACACAGAATTATTCTTATTGACAATTTCTCAGCATAAAAACATTTATGATTTCTAGCTATCCAGCTCCAAACAAGAAATCACTATAAAGTCAATTAATCGGGAAATATTAAAAAAAAAAAAAGAATTAAGAAAATGGCTAATTCCATGGCTCTAAATGCAACAACGTAGAATTTGATATCAAGAAACTTTTAAACTGGACATTATAAAGGAAGCCTTCCATCCCTCTGGCATCGCAGGCCCCAAAAAATCACAGACGCTTCAAGCGCAACATGGTGAGGTTTATGATGGAAAGATGCCTCTGAAAGCTCGATTTTATACTGGATTACTTACTATTTTAAATACAAACAAATCAGTGAACAAAGACAATTATGAGATGTTAAGAGTTTAAATGCAGAGATTTATATTCTTAAAAGATATACAAGAAGAATTCTTAAAAAATGTAATATGAGCTTTATTGCATATGTCATTCCATAATCATTTGGAGATATGAGAATAAATACAACAAAACCTTTAAGTTACTGAAGGTGGGATATATATATATCTGAATAGAATTGTCTGTCAAAGTGACATAAATCATCTTGGAGATTACCAAACCACTTGATTTCAAATTCTGTGGCTGATGCAGTTACCAATGATGACAGCGCTGAAGGGCCTATGCATTTTACCTCACCCTGAAATTCCTCTTTTAGTTTTTCTGGTATAAGATCCTGCCCCATAACCTGCAAACAGAGTAAGAATGAAGATGGGAAACCAGAAAATAACTTGCAGAGAAAACAGCAAATATGACATTAATAACAGATCTTTACAAGAAAAGCCCTTGACACATGAACAACATGCCACCCAGAAGTCTCCAAGTCACGATCAAGTTGCCTGCCTGTTGCGTTCTGCAATAAACACAGAGAACCGAGAGCCTGGGTGCCGCAGCTGCTCAACCCTGCCCAGCTTCTGGCTACACTTGCACAGTGGGGATTTTTACTCTCGGAGTAGCTGCGGAAATCTCAACACCAACTCTGCATTCAATGCTCATCTTGCAACAGCACCAATACTCTGATCTCCTCCTGAGGTTGTTGGACAGAGGGAAGCAAGGAGAGAAGTTTCTTTTCCCTGAGATAGCCTGCATGTTACTGCCCTCTTACGGATGACATCCCACAAGACTGCCTGCCAACCCGGCAATGGCTTGGCTTTCACTAACTTAAAGCTGTAATACTGACAGCAAAGTTATAATCTCACTAGCTTCCTTTGTTCATTAAGATAAAAGTCAGAAACTCTAAATAGCATTAAAAATATTTAGTCTCTATGAATAAAGTGATGCAATGTTACTCTCCTCCTCTGTATTTCTTTAAAACTCCAATGCAGTACATCAAAGAGCGAAGAAATCATGTAAAAGGATGTCTCTGGCTTTTTCTGAAAATGTTTAATACTTTTTCTGGAAGTGTTTAATACTGCTGTGACCATCAAAGTAACCTCCACTTCCATTTCATACTTGTGATTCACTCTGTGGCATCTACAATTTCTGAGATAAAATCTGCGTCCCAGGAAACGCACAGCCATGAGGCATCTGTAAATACAAGTCCAATGAGAAACTTAACAAGCCGGAACATTCCCGGAAGGAGAATTTCAGCAGAACAGAGATACACCTGCATGACACAAGCCAGCATTATATAGGTATCACTGTCAGTTCAAGGTAACACACTACCAGGGCAACCCGCCCCAGCTAAGTTACCTTGCTTCCTGGCACAGTTAATTAGTGCAGGGGAGTGTCATGGGACTTTGTGCTGAACTGGCTCAGGTACCTCAACCAGCCTCCATATAGCTGAGAGCTTGCACACAACAACACGTCCCCTTACCTTGGTCATCAACTGCAAGGAGTTTTCACTGAAACCAAGTCGTGTCACTCTGTCATCAATTTCTTTTTGACCTTCTGTGTTATTCTCTAGCGCAAAGGATGACTGTTGCAACTGGGTTAGCTGAAGTAAAAGCCTGAGATGAAAAAGGCAGTTAAAAAAAGACACAGCTGGCAGAAGAGTAAGTCAGCAAACCTAAACCCAGCCAAAATGTAATATTTTAAAACAGCTCTTCTTCATAACTTTTGCTGACTGCAAAAACTGCAAAGAAATTAACACATCTCTATCAATCTGTTATGGGTATGGTATAGCCGTGCTATGACAGTAGCACTGAGAAGTACTTTTGAAAAACAATATGCCAAGTATCTCTGGTTGCTCTGAGCAAACATTTTTTTCCCCCATGTATTCAACAGCGAAGCTCAGATCCGCTAGCATTAACTGCAGTACTTCAGGTGTCCCGCATCCTTAGTAAGGCCTAACAAGACAGCAGCACATTGCTGCCCATGGCAGTGATTATCTTTGTAATATGAAAAATTAGAAATTTGGGGGGTTTAGACAAATATTAAACATCCTCCCCACATAGGCCAACTCTGGAATACTTTCTAAAATCTTTCACCAAAGTTCTATGTTCAAGGCAGTGCCCCAGAAGTCACCATCACGATTTGGTGAGGGTTAGACGTGCTCACAACGTGCCTTCATGTCACGGAGGGACCCTGTCACCCACTGCTCGACCACAGAGAGCAGTGGCAGTTTCCAGAGGACTGTAAAACATGTCAGCAGAGGAAATATCTAAGTATATTCAACCAAGGGACCACTGGGACTTAGCAATATCGTTACTGAAACTATGTTTAATTCAAGCTTTATGCATAAAGAACAAGAACAATTTTTTTTATCACATTTACCAAAGTTAAATGAAGCAGGTGTTATAATAAAGGTGTGTAGTTTTATAAAGAGAAGACTTGAGATCTTAGATGAATGTTTTCACCTGAGCATTATAAACATAAAAATTTACAAGTCTGAGCCAACAAACCATTAGTAAATTCAGTAAAGTTTTGACTGGGAAATTCAAAGTAAAAATGGAAAGCACTTTTAGTTTGTAAAGTGTTTTTGTTTCAAAATTTGCATCAGCATAATGTAAGAAAGAATGAAATCTCAGTGAAAATGAAACAAAACCATTTCTCCAATTTTTGGTTTTTTTGGTTGGCAAAACTAGAAGAGTCAATTATACGTGATGGTTTACACAGAACCTTATTTCTGACAAAAATCAATACTAACATCCCTTTTCCAGTTGCAATTTACCCTGCACATACGTTCATGCAAAATCCACATCTCACTTAAAATCCAACAGATCTGAAAATTAATATTAGACAACCTATTTAATGCAGAAGCCCTGGGCAGGGGAGAAGCTCACCCTGGACAAGTGTATCCGCACATATAAACCACAATAACACTCTGTGAAACTGTGCAGCCAAGCAAGCAAATCCCATGATTTATAATTCTCTCAATGCTGAACCATACACACCAAAACAAGCCACACAAATTAAGATGAATGTAGCTTTAATATTCAATATCAGTACTAAATCTATTAACTTCTCTCAAGTAGCAATGAAAGTCACCATCTCTTGTAATTGTCTGAGTACAATTAAAAGCTACTATATCCTTTTTTTTATATTTCTTAAGTTTTACCGTAACAGAGAAGTTATAAAGTGTTCTCCATAAACATTTTTGGAAGTTCATAAAATGGCTTTAAATACATTTGGTGACTAATACGTTACTGAGAGGCAAAAGGCGGGGAAAAAATCCAAGACTATTTTAACAAAACTAGTTCCTAATTATCTCTTCGAAAGATTATGTTTTGGGGATTTTTGTTGTGTGCAAGAGTTTTAGGAAGAGAGGGAAGAAAAGGAAAGAGCATTTTAATGCAGCCCTGTCAATCAGCTGTCACAGAGTTAATTCTTCAACCTCACCCATTATGCAGATTGGGGCATTATTATAAAACCCATTTTCACTCAAGCATGAGGCTTCAAGCAAATAAGACAGGTGGCACTCGCAGAAGGAAGACTGGCTGGCTTTCCCTTTGGGGCACTTCTGCTGCTGCGTCTTTAATACTAAAGCAGGAAACAGCCACGCTCTAACAGGCTGCTGTATATAATTACTTGAAAAGATTCATACAATAAGGTCATTAAAAATGCTGTACTTCTCAACAGCGTACAACACTGGTCTACTCTTTCCACTCAGATTTAGGTCATTCACAGCTACCATGCCAGTGGATTTTGCTTTTTAGATCTGAAGCAATAGCAGGGTGCTTCTAAGTTAGCATTGCCAATGCTGAAACAAACATTTGAACTGAAAATGTAAACTGAAAATATTAAGGCTGGGGAAAATATGCTTTAAATTGTTCTTGATTGTGAGAAGTTAACATTATTCTAAGAATATGTTTAGTTACCTTGCTCTAATAAATGAGGCACATGCCTTTATCCCAACTTTCTTTGGCATGTTCTGCTCCCAGGACCCAGAGGCTGCATGTTTCCCTTTGTCCTTCCTTTCCGGTTCTTCCGAAGTGCAGAGGAATTCTTTTACGGTTTGGCTGCTGCCACAAGTCACTGCACTCTCCCTCTTTGTTTCTGCAGCAAGACTGGGCCAAGGGCCTTCTTTCTGGTCATCTGATCTGTGAGGCTGCAAATTAATCTCTCTTCCAGTTGATGTTTTGAAACTACTATCACTTACACTAACCTCTTCAGACTGATTCAGATTTGTTTCTGGAATGACTAGTGGAGACAGACTCTGTAAAAGGCTCATATAAGCTTCAGCAAGTAACTTCCAGTACCAAGGGTTGAAAGGATGTAAGCAGATCAGTTGCTGCAGACACGTGATCTTTTTTCCTATGTTTTCCAGACCCTGGTAAATGGCAAACTGCAGGTTGAGAACCGTCGTTAAGTGATCTGTGTTAGTAGCGCTGTTTCTCTAGAAACAAAAGATAATAGATTAAAACCAAGAGTAGAACAGAATCATCCTTTAGAGCCTAAGAAAATGTCTCCCTGAATAATGACACACAAATATCACTAAAGGTAATTTTTAAATTGTACAAAACTCTGCTTTTAATTTTAAACGATACAACGTGATACAGATCATGCATAATCAAGTTGACAGCATTCCCTTAGCTGCATTGTCCCGGAGTCTGAAAGGCAAGAAGGCCCCGAATGCTGTCATTTGTTTATTTGCCTTCAGAGTTTTGTACAGCTGCCCTTCTTTGTAGTATAAACACCTTTTATATAAAATAAACAGTAGCAGTAAAATTCTAGCAGACTTCAGAGCCTCTGGACTTTTTTCTTTATGGGAAAAACTCAATTTGTGGTTAGATACTCTTCTTGGTGGCAGTCTGGCAGCGAGTATATGGAAATAAAAGGGAGTTTTGAACCATCACTTTTAGAGTGGAAAGACTTAAGCACTCATTTATCCCCTTTCTTATAATTCCTATTACATTACATTAATTCTGCCTGGCAGAGCATGATATTTAGTCCCTTCCAGGACTACCAGCCTCCCTACACAGGGAGCTCATTGTGGTACAGGGTGTTCTGATTTCTAAAGAGTGATTGTATCTGCAGTGACAGTTACCCTCTGTTTACCAAATACTCTTGAGCACTGCACATCCTGAAGGATTATACACATGAAGATTATTTTTCCAGAAAATGGTCTATATAAAAGAACTACTGGCAATATTTTCATGTTCAAAGCCTAAAAGAACAACTGCATTATTTACCATTTTTTCTGCAATAGCGAGAGCCTCCTTGTGCCTTCCTAGGCGAGATAAACACCGAGCCTGGCCCTCTTGGACATCTCGTCTCATCGCAATGTTACTGGGAGGTAAGAGTAGTAAGCAGTTTGAGTATTCACACAGGGCTTTCTAGTAGTGTTGACAAAAAGAAAAGCCAAACAAAACAGTGAAAGATTTTCACTTAAAAGCAAGCCAGACAGTATGTTTTGTTTATGACTACAGTCACAAAGGGAATTCAGGAACTGAAGTCCACATTTTCATTTCTCCAGACTCAACTACCACCTCTGCCAGCAACACACGAGGGCCCTGGTACTACACAGCCAAGCCCAGACAGTGATGAGCAACCCCAATCCCAACTTGTGTTTAAACTCTGGCAGGATTCACCACACATCCGTCCAGCTCTCCTCCAGCAGGCCTGATCCAGAAGGGATCATTTACGGACTTGGGCAATATGTGACACAAAGCATCTTCCCCTCAGCTACCAACTCAATGATCAGAGCGCTCATCCTAAATTTGGGGAGGCCTTCTTTCAAATCCACGACATTCTCCATGGGAAGGCTTGAACTTGCAAGTACCTCACCTCAGATGAATTATCAGCAAGTTGAATAATACCACAAGGAAGGTGAATCTCCATCGTTCCTGTAAGGTGGTTCTAATTTGCATAAAATAATTAAATATTAATTGGGCTAAGGAAAAAGACGAGAATGAGCAATACTTCTGTAGCTGAATGCTCAGGGCACTCACCAGGACTCCAATTAACATTTAAATACATTAAATTAAGTATTCAGTGAAGCTAAGACTGGAATCTTGGTTCCTCCCTGTTTGTGTAAGTGCTCAGACCAGAAGACTAAAGAGCAGTGCTCATTCTCCCATCTCTCAAAATGAATATTTAATTATTCCTTGCAAACTTGAATGCTTCTAACAGAAAGAGCTGCCAGGCGACGTATCCTAAATACTTTCTAGCAAAATGGCTGAAATACTTTTCTTCCCTGGTGTTAAGCTTGCATTCCTTCTCAAGCAAAAGAGGAAGCTCCCCTCTGCCTGGTGAGTGCAGCAGCCACTGGTGAAAGTGGATCAGAGGAGGGTTGCAGGACACCTTTTATGCCTTGCGTGACAAACCTGACAAGGAGCAGGCATTACGAATACCAAGCGGATTCTACAGTCAGGTATATCCTAAAAAAGGGCACAGCTTAGATCATTGCTGTCCGTGGCATTTCCCGTCAAGTGGCCTAGGCTGAAGTAAAAAAGTATTCACAATGAACGAAGAGATTACTGCCCCCATTTACTTATTTCCAGCCCCCTTTCTAAGGTCAGTGCTCTCAAATCTGTAATTTTATGTGCAGTCTAGCTCTGGTTCTGTCACAGTGATTCAGGTTAGCAATAAGACTGAAGACCAGACATTTAAAGATGGATCACTGTGGCAGAAAAGGCTTAGGAAGCAATGGTCTGTTCCACTAACAGATCTGAGGGGGTGTCATTCTCTCCCGAGAGGGCACCACAGCACAGAGCAAAGAGCAATCTGCTTTTCCTGAGGGTCAGCAGCCATGTCTGACGGCAGCCTGAAGCATCTTTCTTCTCAGCACACTTTTATGAATCCCTTCAGTGCATCTCAGCTGAGACTGGAAAGCATCTGCCAGGTATAGACAAGGCAGCAGTAGTACTGGAGTAACATTAAAAAGCAGAAGTCAGTGCCAGCTGAGGTACAAAAAGATCCACAAATCCAATGGGCAAGGCAAAAGGAGTAGAGAGGGAAGCCGGCCTGGGGGCTTTCAAATCAGGGAGCCTGTAATGCAAACCATAGTCTGGAAGAAGCTATTACAGTTGAAATAAGGGCAGAAGCAGCTGATTTCAACCAGGAAACAAGGTAACAAAAGACTGGATCCTGCAACTAGAACTATAGAGGTAGGAGAGCATCAATGATCAGAAATGTGGCTCAGGAAGCAGGCATTGAGGATAGGGTCTAGGACTACAGCAGGCAGGAACAGAAATGAGGAACATAAATGCACCCCAAGGGCACAAAAAGCCATCCAGAGCGAGGGGATGCAGCAGAGAGATGGGACAATTAACGATGAGGCTCATAAGCCAAATGTCAGGAGCCTGACAACTACAGTCAGCTTTCCCTGACAGCGGGGGGAGCTCTGAGAAAGGTGAGCGGCACCAGGTGGTTGCCAGCGATTTAACAGCCTTTGTGGGAGATGGTACTACCCCAAGAGCAGACATATCTGCATCCTTAACTCTGGCTGACCGTGACTTCCGTGGCCACAAACAACAGCTCTGCTCACTACTGAAACACGTGGATGTGCAAGCCCGATGTGGGTCAGCTCCAAGTGCAGAGCGGCATTTCTGGCCAGTTTACATTGACTTCTTGCTGACTGCCAGAAAGATGACACCTGTCTGGGGGAACGGCCAGAATGCAGTTAACCATCATGGCCTGACTGCAGGACAGCTCTTCACCAGGTCACCGTGACTCCCCGTGGGGCTGTCATGCTTTCAGCAAAAACGATGAGCCATCAAGCCTGATGTAACCGCCCCACAGACTCCAGCATCTCCCGGCTGTGGGTCAGCGGGGAGGCTTTTATATCAATACACACATACATTCACTCAGCACACCGGGGACTACAGGCTCACCCCAGTTTACACCCCCACGACTTCCACCGACCGGGGCCCAGGCTCGGCCCAGGCCCGTGCGAGGGCCGTGGAAATACCTCCAACTCCTGCTGCCGGTAGGCC